CAGGGTTACATACTCAGCAGGTGGTAAAGTATACCCTCACTGAACGAGCTGGATGCATATGTTGCATTTATCTCAACCTTCTGTTTTCCTTCTGCTCAGTGTTTCTGGTCAGTGTGAGCCCGTGTGTGCACAAGGCTGTGTGAACGGGACCTGTGTGTCTCCAGGAGTTTGCCAGTGCCACTTTGGTTTTGTTGGGGATAATTGCTCTTCCCAGTGCAGCTGCAACAAGCACAGCAACTGCGCTGGTGTAAACAAGCGAGATGTTTGTCTCGAGTGCCAAAATAACACCATCGTGAGTGTTTTCAAAAAAATATATCCATCTGCACTTTGAATTTCTTTCCACGTTCAGTGTTGAATATAGATTTTTCTTTTTGCCTTCATTCTAGGGGAAGCACTGCGAAAAATGCAAGCCTCTGTATGTAGGCTCTGCAAAAGGTGGTGGCACCTGCCGTCCGTGTCGCGAGTTCTGTACAGGAAACAGTGTTGTGTGTTTATCCAGGGATGAACTTAGTAAGGCCCTCGACAACCCCCGGCTGTTCCCTCTTGACCCCAACAGCGTCAGTATCTTCCATCCTTCTTCTTTTGATCATTATTTAAAGACCAAGTTCACTGATAGACAGTTTTTACTTGCTGTTGTTGAAACGTGATCAGAGTTTAACATGCAGGCTGAACAAGAAAACACTCCTCTACCTCTTTCCTGCATTAGCGAGTGATAAAAAATAGACGGGGAAAGGCTCAGATTAGAAAAACCAGTCAGATCTACGTCATACTAAAAATTAATGTTCGTGGACTCGCCCATCTTGGTTCACGACAGGAAGGGCTGTTGATAGTTTAGAATGTTTATGCTAGTAGAAGCTAATGTTAGCATTAGCAACTCCACCACACAGCAGAACTCCTCCAGGCTTGTGTTTTTTGTCGTCGTCGTCTTCCTCCGCTTATCCGGGTCCGGGTCGCGGGGGCAGCATCCCAACTAGGGAGCTCCAGGCCGTCCTCTCCCCGGCCTTGTCCACCAGCTCCTCCGGCAGGACCCCAAGGCGTTCCCGGACCAGATTGGAGATGTAACCTCTCCAACGTGTCCTGGGTCGACCCGGGGGCCTTCTGCCGGCAGGACATGCCCGAAACACCTCCCCGGGGAGGCGTCCAGGAGGCATCCTGACCAGATGCCCAAACCACCTCAACTGGCTCCTTTCGATCCGGAGGAGCAGCGGTTCTACTCCGAGTCCCTCCCGAATGTCCGAGCTCCTCACCCTATCTCTAAGGCTGAGCCCGGCCACCCTACGGAGGAAACTCATTTCGGCCGCTTGTATCCGCGATCTCGTTCTTTCGGTCATTACCCAAAGTTCATGACCATAGGTGAGGATTGGGACGTATATCGACCGGTAAATCGAGAGCCTGGCTTTCTGGCTCAGCTCCCTCTTCCCCACGACAGATCGGCTCAGCGTCCGCATCACTGCAGACGCCGAACCAATCCGCCTGTCGATCTCCCGATCCCTCCTACCCTCACTCGTGAACAAGACCCCGAGATACTTAAACTCCTCCACTTGAGGTAGGACCTCTCCCCCGACCCGGAGGTGGCAAGCCACCCTTTTCCGGTCGAGAACCATGGTCTCAGATTTGGAGGTGCTGATCCTCATCCCAGCCGCTTCACATTCGGCCGCGAACCTACCCAGCAAGAGCTGAAGGTCAGAGCTGGATGAAGCTAGGAGGACCACATCATCCGCAAAAAGCAGAGACGAGATTCTCCTGCCACCAAACTCGACACACTCCACACCACGGCTGCGTCTAGAAATTCTGTCCATAAAAGTGATGAACAGAACCGGTGACAAAGGGCAGCCCTGGCGGAGTCCAACCCTCACTGGGAACAGGTCCGACTTACTACCGGCTATGCGGACCAAACTCACGCTCCTCTGGTAAAGGGACTGAATGGCCCTTAACAGAAAGCCACCCACCCCATACTCCTGGAGCGTCCCCCACAGGGTGCCCCTGGGGACACGGTCATAAGCCTTCTCCAAATCCACAAAGCACATGTGGATTGGTTGGGCAAACTCCCATGCCCCCTCCATCACCCTTGCAAGGGTATAGAGCTGGTCCACAGTTCCACGGCCAGGACGAAAACCACATTGCTCCTCCTCTATCTGAGATTCAACTATCGATCGGACCCTCCTCTCCAGTACCTTGGCGTAGACCTTTCCAGGGAGGCTGAGGAGTGTGATCCCCCTATAGTTGGAACACACCCTCAGGTCACCCTTCTTAAAGATGGGGACCACCACCCCGGTCTGCCACTCCCTAGGAACTGCCCCCGATGACCACGCAATGTTGTAGAGACGTGTCACCATGACAGCCCTACAACATCCATAGCCTTGAGATACCCAGGACGAACCTCATCCGCCCCCGGGGCTCCGCCGCTGTGTAGTTGTTTGACTACCTCAGCAACTTCTGCCCCCGAGATCGGACAGTCCATCCCCAGGCCTCCCAGCTCTGGTTCCTCCTCGGAATGCGCATTGGTGGGATTGAGGAGCTCCTCAAAGTATTCCTTCCACCGTCCGACTATAGCCTCAGTTGACGTCAGCAGCTCCCCATCCCCACTGTAAACAGTGTGAGCGAGTTGCTGCCTTCCTCTCCTGAGGCGCCGGACAGTTTGCCAGAACCTCTTTGGAGCCGATCGATAGTCTTTCTCCATGGCCTCACCAAACTCCTCCCGCGCCCGAGATTTTGCCTCGGCAACTGCCACTGCTGCACCCCGCTTGGCTATCCGGTACCTGTCTGCTGCCTCCGGAGACCCACTGACCAGCCACGCCCTGTAGGCCTCCTTCTTCAGCTTGACGGCTCCCCGAACCTCTGGTGTCCACCAGCGGGTACGGGGGTTGCCACCACCACTGGCACCGGCCACCTTACGACCACAGCTAGCAACAGCCGCCTCGACAATCGCAGAGTGGAACAAGGCCCACTCGGACTCAATGTCCCCCACTGCTCTCGGGACGTGGTCAAAGCTCTGCCGGAGGTGGGAGTTGAAGACCGTCTTGACAGGTTCTTCTGCCAGGCGTTCCCAGCAGACCCTCACTATGCGTTTGGGTCTGCCAGGTCTACGCGGCATGTTCCCTTGCCATCTGATCCCACTCACCACCAGGTGGTGATCAGTTGACAGCTCCGCCCCTCTCTTCACTCGGGTGTCCAAAACATACGGCCGCAGGTCAGATGATACGACTACAAAATCTATCATCGACCTGTGACCTAGGCTGCCCTGGTACCAAGTGTACCGGTGGGCATCCTTATGTTCGAACATGGTGTTCGTTATGGCCAAACTGCGGCTTGCACAGAAGTCCAATAACAAAACACCTCTCGAGTTCAGATTAGGTGGGCCGTTCCTCCCAATCACACCCCTCCAGGTCAAGCTGTCATTGCCCACGTGAGCATTGAAGTCCCCCAGCAGGACAATGGAGTCCCCTGATGGAGCACTATCTAGCACTCGTCCCAGGGACTCCAAAAAGGGTGGGTACTCTGAACTGATATTTGGCCCATAAGCACAAACAACAGTCAGGACCCGTTCCCCGACCCGAAGGCGCAAGGAAGCTACCCTCTTGTCCCCCGGGGTAAACCCCAACACACAGGCAGAGAGTCTCGGGGCTAACAAAAAGCCAACCCCAGCCCTCCGCCTCTCACCCGGAGCAACTCCAGCAAAGTAGAGTGTCCAACCCCTCTCCAGGTCTCGGGTTCCAGAGCCAATGCAATGTGTCGAGGTGAGTCCGACTATATCTAGCCGGTACCGCTCAACCTCTGCCACAAGCTCCGGCTCCTTCCCCGTCAGCGAGGTGACGTTCCATGTCCCAAAAACTAGTTTTCTTGTCCGGGGATTGGACCGCCAAGGCTCCCGCCTTGGTCTGCCACCCGATTCGCATTGCACCGGACCCTTCCTGTTCCTCCTGCGGGTGGTGGGTCCACAGTTGGACGAGCCCTTGTATCCGGTTCGGGCTGGGCCCGGCCGGGCCCCATGGGCGAAAGCCCGGCCACCAGGCGCTCGCTCACGGGCCCCAACCCCAGGCCTGGCTCCAGGGTGGGACCCCGGTAACCCTCCGGGCCGGGTACTCCGACTCTTCGTTTTAACCGCCATGAAAGATCCTTCGAACCGTTCTTTGTCTCACCCTTCACCTAAGACCAATTTGTCATGGGAGACCCTACCAGGGGCACTAAGTGCCCCAGACAACATAGCTCCTAGGATCATTAGGGCACTCAAACTCCTCCACCACGATAAGGTGACGGTTCAAGGAGGAGCTTGTGTGGAGATAAAACATCAGCGTTGCAAGTCGGTGGTTGAGTCTGAGTTTCTATTAGCCAATCAGAGGCGAGGTGTCTGAATCCTGTCTCCGCTGGTTCACTTCTACTTCCTGAAACAGAGTTTTTTCCTCTCAGAGTTCGACTCACAAGGCATTCATTTATACCAGGGTGAACTTGGTCTTTAAAAACACATCAGTGGACTTGTTGGCTGTTTTAACACTTTCTGAATTATTTCTCGTCGTCAGATTCAGAACTGGGTGTCTGAGGGTCCTACAGAAGAAAACGCCGTGTGTGTGAACTGCCAGAACAACAGTGTTGGGGACAAGTGTGAGAGCTGCCTCATTGGCTATTTCATCCTGCAGAAGAAATGTGAAAAGTGAGTGACGCTTGCTGCAGAAAACTGGATATCCATAATAACTAAGAGTGTGAAGTCTCTGTTACAGATACATTTTTATTTTAGGTTGTTTGTCATCAGAATCACAAGCGAATGCACACATTGCAAAAAGACAATCTAGACCATCAGAAATATCGCTGCAACTAATGACTTTTTTGAGAGTCGGCTACTCAGTCTTTTGTTGCCATTTAGTCATCAACACTTTCAGTTGGTGCCTGGTAGGGTTGTCACGGTGTGAAAATTTAACCTCACGGTTATTGTGACCAAAATTCCCACTGTTTTTGGTATTATCGCGGTATTTTTTTTAAACGTGTTACATTTTCAGACAACTAAATAAACCCTGTATATCAGGAAAATATTGTCCTCAGTTTGTGTCTAAATTTAGCCTAAAATGTGTTATTTTGTAATTATGTTGTTTATTTGTTTACATTTTTCCCCTTTAGTCTTTAAAATACCAATATTTGCCCATAACTTCTTATTTCTTGTCTGTTTGATGTCATCATTTTAAAAATATTAGCTCAGATGATACTCAGTACTCAAGTAGCCTTCTAATCAGATACTTTTTTACCCTTACTTGAGTAATAAACCCTATATCAGGAAAATATTGTCCTCGGTTTGTGTCCTTCCAGTGAGCTTTGCAGATGTGGGGAAATGTCATCAGGCAGTAATCATTGTTGAATTCATAATTATTCTCGGAGAGAGACCAACTCTTATCCGCCCCTGGGAGCCCCGTAATGCATAGCGTCATTTCAACATGGCGGTGTCCGCTACACGGTTTATATGCAGGTAGCGGCGCTGCGGCTGCTTTATATAGCGACTCGTTGCATTCTCCCTCAACCCAAATCCTCGGATCACGCATTTTAACTAAAACGCTAACGTTAGCTTGCCTTGCGTTGACGGTAGAGTTGTGGGTGATGGTCACGCAGATGTGTCATGAGATTTGAAGCGTTGCTGCCGTTCACAGACACTTTTTCTGCACGTGCTGCAAACAGGATAGCCGTCTTCTATCAACTGTCCCTCTGCATTCTTCAAATATCCAAAAGATGCCCGTACTTCCCACTTTGTCTTCTTTGAGGGATAATAAATGTCCTGAGCGCTACCGTCTCCTCCTTTGACCATTATTTCAGCTTTAGCTTTAAGAAAGTTTTGGTTGTAAACAACAAAGTGCGCATGTGCCGCCGGCAACTTCAGCAGATGATACGGTGGCTGGTAAGGGTCACCGCGCCTACACCGCAGCCACGGTAATCCATCGAGATAATATAGTTTTAAAAAACAAGACGGTTATTATTATTGTCTACTTTTTTACTGGGGTTTACCGCCACACCGGTTACCGTGACAACCCTAGTGCCTGGTTCCTGTGAGTGCTCTGCCCGGTCCTTGCTCATGTCAGTCCACCTTAAATTTTAATTAAAAGGCAAGATTTTTTATTTTTGTTGTAGTAGATGTAATGACTAACCGTTGCCCTTTTCTGGATGTATAGTTTTCTGTGTTTCAGTTTGTAACCGAATCTCTCCTCGTTGTAGGTGTCAGTGCAACGGCCATGCAGACACATGTAATGAACACGACGGGACCAACTGTCCCTGCCAAAACAACACGGAGACCTCGTCCTGCCTCAGCAGCTCTCAGAGCGATCGGAAGGACTGCTACAAGCAGCAGGTACGACCAGACCAGAGATTTTTACTTTGCTGTGTTGATTTCTGTTTCTTCAAGAATATTGTGATTTATGCAACGTGCCGGTTAGAAACTACGAAGCAATGTGTGCTGTAAAATGAGTGACTCATGCTCTGCGTTTCCATTTAGTGTGCCAAGTGTAAAGATTCCTTCAACGGCAATCCGGTGAACGGGCGCCAGTGCTATCGGCAGTTCAACGTGGACACGGAGTGCTGCTTTGACCCCACGTCCCAAACAAACTGCTTCCACGACCCCAGCATTCGCAATCTGCCCAAAGGTCGCACTGTGTTCTTCGCCGCTCAGCCAAAGTTTACGAACGTGGACATCCGGGTCACCATTGACGTTACCTTTGGTGAGGTGGAGGTTTACGTGTCCAACTCTCATGACACCTTCATTGTAGACGTGGACCTCCACACGGGGATTCACACCATCAAGATAGAAGATGAATCTGTGAGTCGTGGGACAGCTACGGGGACGGAGAAGGATTCTCCTCCGTCACCTATTAAAGTGTTTGCCAACGCCTCGTCCAATCTGGGGGGTCCGGCGCTGTCCCAGAACCCACTGCAGCTGCAGGCCAAACCTCCAGGAGCAGAGAGAGAAATCGTAGAGGAGCGTGCTGAAGGACTCATCTCCTATATCACCGTGTGGAAACCACAAACGGTCCTGATCGTCCGTGGAGTTCGGGATCGCGTGGTCATCACCTTCCCCCATGAGGTGCACTCCCTGAAGTCTAGCCGCTTTTACATCGCTCTCAGAGGCATGGGGACGGGTGGAAGGCAGGGGGAGTCCCAAGGCCTGCTGTTTCTGAGACAAGACCAAGCCCACATTGACCTCTTTGTCTTTTTCTCTGTTTTCTTCTCCTGCTTTTTCCTTTTCTTGTCCGTCTGCGTTCTCCTGTGGAAAGTGAAGCAGTTTCTGGACTTTCGTCGGGAGCAGCGGCGTCACATTCAAGAGATGACCAAAATGGCGTCCAGACCATTCGCTAAACTTTCCATTTACCTTGAACCGGACGAGCCTCAGCTCATCTACCTGCCTTCAGCTGGTGGGGGGGTGGGGGGCAGCACCGTATCTCTCGCTCACGCCCGCACGGGGAAATTAGCCGGAGTGGTGGTGGGCCAGAGGGGCCGAGCAGGACCTGTCTCTTATAAACACGACCCAGGTTCCGGACCCACAGCCCACCATCACCACCACCACCACCACCACCTCACCCTGAGTGGAGGAGGCAACAGCGGACAGCACCTACCACTGCATTACCTCAACACCCATCACTACGCCAGCACCACAGCCGGGACCCAGGCTTCACATCATCACCATCCGTCCACATACACCAGCTACCAGCACTTCTGCCGCTCCGACCCTTTCCTCTCACAGCTCATGGGCTTTTCCTACTCCTCCTTCAAGGTGGGACCCATCACCCTGGAGCCCACGGAGGACGGCATGGCCGGAGTGGCCACCGTCCTGTTCCAGCTGCCTGGGGGCGTCCTGGCTCCTAACCGCGCCTGTTTGGGCTCAGCTCTGGTTACTCTACGGCAGAATCTGCAGGAGTACTGCGGTCACGGTACTGGAGGGGGGCATCCAGGGGCAGGTGCAGGGCGCAAGGGGCTGCTTGGCCATCAGCACTTGACCACTATGGCTATGTAGGAACTCAACTAACACAACAAGGCAGAGTTCAGACGGATGTAAAGTGTTAGGAATATAAGAAATTAGTTTCTTTTTAAAGAGACAGCTACAAAAACAAGCAAAGCCCAAATGAAAGTTACTGTATTAAAGTCAGTAACGTTGAGCTTCTTTTCAACAGGCGTGTACATACACTGTATAATGGAATAAGTGTCTTTTATTGTACGATGTATTGCTAATCTCTATTTCAGTGCTTCACATGACTGAGTCAGCCGTCTCTTGATGAACTACAGCCGCTACGCGCATCAGCAACATTCAGTCAGGTGGTGTCTGATCACTAAAGCTGAAGCTTTCTCACTGACAAAACAGATTTGTGTGACAAAAATCGAGAATTGTGCGCTTTGAAACCAACATGTGCTTTACGTCCAAAACAAGTGACATACAATCAAGAATGCTTTTAAAATTAGGGACTTAAAGTAAATTGTACGATGTTAATCGCCAACCCAGTGCAAAGGAAAACCGTACACTCGGTGTTGCTTGTGAGGTGTTTTTTTAATCAATATTAGTGATTTCTAATTGTAACTGAATATATGACGGGCTTCTAAGCCACACATTTCTGTTGAGAAGACTCCCGAGTATCATGCTGCATATTTATTCACGTCTGTTACGTTCTTCGTCTCCTCGGCCTTCGCTTCTCGCCTCGTCTCCGAGCCAGCTGACTGATTCGTAATGCTTTTGTTGGAAACGTTTGTGCTGCAGCTCCTAAAGAAAGTAAGACTTTCTGATTTTCTTTTTTAAGAAATCATCCAGGATTAGGTTTTCCTTGGTGGTTTTCAGTTCTCAACACTAAAATAATTTGAAAGCACTACAAAACTCCATGAACTGAAAGAAACTTTCAATTTTTTCAAGTGTTTAATGGTATTTTGTTCTCTTGACTCCAGACATTTCATTTAATTGGTACATTTCCAGCTTAGATGATTGTATTTGCCAGTTATTATTGCAGTTTCAGACGATAGATGTTGGAACTGGAGTAGGAGATGTGTTACTGTACTGGAGTTTAGATGCACAGTGAGAGTTATGAGAGAAAGTCCTCCTGGTGAGAGATTTCAGATCATCTGAAAGCTTATCTTTTGACTGAATAGCTTGTTTACTGATTTTGTTTAATGTTCTCTTTAGGTTTGCACTGCATGAAGCCGGTATAAGCCCTAGTATCCAACTCTCTTACGCTCGTACTGTAAAGGATTGAACTAACCAAAGGGCTGATGGCTTCTTTCGTTCTTGAATTCAAACTAAAGTCCAAACCAGTCAATATTTAAAGCAGCCCTCCACAAATAAGCATCAACACTTTTGTTTGTCTGGTATCTTTGTGTATGTTTTTCATTTTATTAACATATTTTGTTTTTGTACATAACTTTTGTTGTGTTTGTTTTTAAAGAAGGGATCAGTTCTGTTCAAAAGACTGAGTGAAGCTTGAGTGTCCCGAGTCAGCTGAAATAAAGTCTGTGGAACATTAATGAATTTGTGTTTATTCTAATTACTAACGTGTTATTGCTGCAGGCTAGAGAGGGGGAAATACCATTTAATTTAAATGAGAGCGCAAACTGTTCTAAAAGAGATTACAGTCATGAGTGGTTAAATTGTATCTCTCCAGATCAAGATTTTAATATTTTCTTGTTCATTATTATTAATATGAAGCCTATTTTTAAGCAGTACAAATAAATAAGCATAAAATATATGTTTTCATTTGTTTAAAATTCTAATCTTTGTAGCCCATAAGAACTTTCACCTTCAAACTTTTGATCACCATTTTCAAATTTTGGACACCGCTGCTTTAATTGTTTAATTATAACAGGTATTAGGGATGTGAATCTTAGAGCAACTCACGATTTGATTTGATTCTGATTCTTGGGATGCCGATTCAATTCAGAATCGATTCTCAATTTAAATCGATTCACAATCAGTATTAGCAAAGAGTGTCAGCTCCAGGATGAACTACTTTGTTGTACAAGTTATTTAAAGCTATGGGACATTTGACTTTGAACTGGTCATGCTCCAAAAATGCTAATTTACAATGTAAAATAAAGTGATTCTAAAACTGTAAACAGAAACAATCTTTTGACCAAAAGGCAACATTTATTTTTGCTTACCTTGTAAAATATAACAAATCTGTAGTTACCCAACAGTAGCTTTGAAAGTAATATGGTCAAATACTTTTCAAGTATGTGTGGACACAAGTTACATGAGTAATCCTGAGTACTCATTTATCAACTTAGAAAATAAATATGAGAATATCTCAAATTTCTGAGTATGGAAAAAATGACATTCAAGTGCCCTCTTATCAGCAGATTCAAACATAAATCATCTCAATTTATGGGACCACAAAAGTAAACGGAGTACTGACTCTCCTAACAAAGATCAAAAAAGTGTGTCTCAAACCTGTAACATGCCAAATATTTGACTTCTTGGAATAGATTCTTAACCTTTGTGAATCGATTCTGAATCTTTATAAATAAGAATCCCGATTCAGACCTGAATCGATTTTTTTCAGCTCCTCTAATAGGTATGTAGATAGATAAATGGCTTGCATTTGTTTAGTGCCTTCTTGGGTTCTACAACCCCCTAAAGTGCTTCACAAGTTCACATCACAGTCAACCCCCGTGCGCACACGCCCATTAACACGCCGGTGAGAATGATGAGCTACAATGCAGCCACAGCTGCTCTTGGGCACATTGAAGCAGGTGAGGCCTGCCATACTCAAGTGCCACCAGTCCCTTCAACCATCACCAGCAGGCAAGGAGGGTTATGCGTCTTGCCCAAGGACACAACACAGCAGCTCTCTAGCGTGAGCCTAGATTAGTGAACTAGACCAAATTCTTGCCTTTATTTTATATATATATATATATATATATATATATTTTTTTTTTTTTACTCTGGCTAGCAGGAGTCGGGATCGAGCCTACTAGTGATGTGTCGGTTGTGAACGAACCGGCTCTAAGAGACGGTTCTTTGAAGTGAACGACGGGAGTCAGCTCGTCATTGGGTGCCGTCCCCTCCCCTCACCCCCTCCCCTCTTGCTTCGTGAACGCTACAGGCGATTGGTCATCATGTGTAACTGCGTGTCCAGACTGTCCACACACAGAGCAGTAGGGGCGGGAAAGAGGGAGGACCAGACGCAGACACACAGCTGAGCACATGCGGGAGGAGGGAGAGGAGAGGGAATGAGGAGGGAGACAAAGTTGAGCGAGAGGAAGGAGAGTGTGACGAAGACGGTGAAAAAAATGTGCGCCAGCTGTCGGAAAGTGGAGATTTCTGAAAGTGTTCAGTTATTAAAACCATAGAAATGATAAGTATTTAATATATTGCATTTTTTACATCAGTAAATCATTTTACATATAGTTTTGCATTATGTTGGTTATAAATGTACAGCAACAGAAAATCTGAGGAGCCACTTGGGAGCCGAAAGAGCTGGTGTTCTGGGAATTTCTCCTACCCCGTAAACCGTCCTACCCGTTGTTTCCGAGCATGTGCGCGCATGCGCACAACACGAAAAGGGAATGCTACTCCGTTGTCATATTTGCAGGAAAATAGGTAAGTAGTAAGTATTAGTACTTTTTATTGACGTTGATACTTGATTTTTTGGGTTAGGGTTAGGGTTTGTGTCATGTAAAACACCGTAAAATTATCGTTTTGCCAAAGTAGGACGTTTTGTCAGAACACCGGCTCTTTTTTGGTGAGCTGAGCCAAAAGAACCGGCTCTCTAAAAAGAGCCGGAGTTCCCATCACTAGAGGCTACAACTTTACGGGTTAGATAGGTAACTGTCACTTTAATTTCACCAGGAAGTAAAAATAAAACCTGATTGGTCAGAGTTGTTCAGTCACAACCAATAGGACACTGCGGCTCTTCCTGTGTTCCTGTATTCTCTCTGCCCCCTCGCAAAAATTATGTAGGCATCCACCGAAGGTTGCCTTACAAAGAACCTGGTCCGAACCGCTTCAGTCACACCTGTAAGTATCGTTTATTAAATAAGAAAACAACTTTACACTCACGCGCTGCGAAAATTGCCGTAAACTGTGGCTCTGCTCACTGTTGCTTAGCTAAAATGCTAACAAGATGGCTAACGAACAAGACGGAACCGAATCAGAACGCTAGCTCATCACCTTAGATTCAGTTGTGTTTCACAATCTTTTGTGTTTATTTAGATCACAGAACGCCAACGAGACGAAATCCTGATGGTGTTAAAATGAAGACGAAGCGTAACAAAGAAACGGAAGAAGAGGAAGACTATGAAACAATCACTGTTAAAACAGAATGGGAATTACTCAAGCAGGAGAGTGCATCTTCTGAAGTAGATAATGAAGAATACACTATCAATGGAGATGACCTTCACATTTTAATTAAGGAGGAACCGCAGTCACAGGAGATCGGCGAGGATCCCTGTGTGGACACTAACACTTTTACTGATTGCCAGAATCTGCAGGAACACATAAAAGACGAGTTTGTCTCCAACCATCTTCTGGAGTATGAGCCGGATGGAGGTGATGATATCAAGGAGGGGTCAGAGTCCTGGATTAAGGAGGAGATGCAGAGTGAAGAGGAGACTGATGAAGAGGAAGATTATGTAGATAACAGCCAAGAAGACTTTGAGGAGGATGAGGATGAAGTGTTCCCAGGTATGCAGAAGGAAACGGCACACACAATATGCTTTTCATATCAGATTACATTGGACCTTTCTAATAGCGTTTCACTGTGTGGTGATATTGTAAAAAAGAAAACAAATCTTTGCAGATGACGTCAGATGGTCAGCCCTGACATGCTCATGTGTTTGTCAACCAGCATATTCAAAGAAGCCCAACACTGATTGACAAACTTTGTTTTGGCATAAAAAAATTCTTACATTCAGGGCAATTGTCAATGGATAATACATTCACCTAAAGGATTATTAGGAACACCTTAGTAATACAGTGTTTGACCCCCTTTCACCTTCAGAACCACCTTAATTCTACGTGGCGTTGATTCAACAAGCTGCTGAAAGCATTCTTTAGAAATGTTGGCCCACATTGAGAGGATAGCATGTTGCAGCTGATGGAGATGTGTGGGATGCACATCCAGGGCACGAAGCTCCCGTTCCACCACATCCCAAAGATGCTCTATCGGGTTGAGATCTGGTGGCTGTGGGGGCCGTTGTAGTACGGTGAACTCATCGTCATGTTCAAGAAACCAGTTAGAAATGATTGGAGCTTTATGACATGGTGCATTATCCTGCTGGAAGTAGCCATCAGAGCACGGGTACATGGTGGTCATGAAGGGATGGACATGGTCAGAAACAATGCTCAGGTAGCCCGTGGCATTTCAACCATGCCCAAGTGGGACTAAGGGGCCTAAAGTGTGCCAAGAAAACATCCCCCACACCATGACACCACCACCACCAGCCTGCACAGTGGTAACAAGGCATGATGGATCCATGTTCTCATTCTGTTTACCAGTGGCGGTTTTATCATTAGGCATAGGTCGGCGGCCGTCTGGGGCCCCCTTATGTTGGGGGGCCCCCTAGCCCTGACTGCTGGCACCCCCTCTGTTAATGCCATAATGGACTATTTCTTTAAGACGCTGATGCACAAACAGGAAGTGATTGGCAGTCATTCCACTCCAATCGTTGGTGGTGGTAATTCACCAAATTGTTTTTTGCCAAGTGTCATAAGACCACAAATAAGAAGAAGAGAAAGTGTGGCAAGGTGGATAAACGAGGGCCCAGGCGGGATTCGGTCCCCAGACTCCTGGGTGAGAGTCATGCGCGCTTACCAGTCAGCCAAAGGGACATCCCCTTGACCAAGTAGCCAGGGCGCATGATCAACACTGACAGGACGCTCACACTGCCACAAAAGCAGAAGAAGAAGAGAGGCGGGAGCGTTTATAACAAACTCGGAGCAGTAGTCAAAACATCAAGCATGAAATGGAGTTATCCTAGTGGCTCCAATAAGAGAGAGAAGCAGCTTGCTTTAAAAAATCTTTTATCTTCACTCCCAAAAATGACGTCGTTTTTCAATGTAAACATCAAAATGATGCAGAAAAGGAAAGACAAAGGAAAATGTTTAAAGGGAGGAAAACAGAGACCAAAATGGAAAATAGAAGAAAAAAAAGAGAGGCAAAACCACACGAGCGCTGACAGGAAGAAGAAAGCCAGGAAAAAAGAGGAGGACTAATAAAAAGTGAAAATAACTCGTGTCAGAAGAGGGGAGAGTTTTGCAAATCCAGTTAAAGATAAATTGTCGAAAATTTAGTGTAAGGGGGCCCCATGTCTGTGTTTGCCTTGGGCCCCCAAATTGCTAAATCCGCCACTGCTGTTTACGCCAAATTCTGACTACCATTTGAATGTCCCAACAGAAATTGAGACTCATCAGACCGGGCTACATTTTTTAGTCTTCAACTGTCCAGTTTGGTGAGCTGGTGCAAATTGTAGCCTCTTTTTCCTATTTGTAGTGGAGATGAGTGGTACCCGGTGGGGTCTTCTGCTGCTGTAGCCCAACCACCTCAAGGTTGTGCGTGTTGTGGCTTCACAAATGCTTTGCTGCATTCCTCGGTTGTAACGAGTGCTTATTTCAGTCAAAGCTGCTCTTCTATCAGCTTGAATCAGTCAGCCCATTCTCCTCTGACCTCTAGCATCAACAAGGCGTTTTCGCCCACAGGACTGCCGCATACTGGATGTTTCTCCCCTTTCACACCATTCTTTGTAAAGCCTAGAAATGGTTGTGTGTGAAACTCCCAGTAACTGAGCAGATTGTGAAACACTCAGCTAGGACCAGCTAAAACATGCTGAGCAGTGGCCCTCAAGGACCAAAGTTGAATAGGTCATGTTTAGAGCCTTTGCGACCTTTACAGTTAAGAGACACTGATGTGCCGTGTGGGCTGGAAGGTGTTAAACCTTTTAAAAGTCTTTGTCTGTTTAGTCCTATCAAACTTCTGTCTTCATCGAAAGTCACATCAGCGTCGTAAAGGACAAAGCACCAAGCACACATACTTGAGGGGCCCCTGGGCTCAGTTTAATGGAGCGGGGAAATCTTACTGCTGACACATTCTTTCTGTTGACTTTTTGTCAGTAAGTCCAAAATTCAGTTGGAGAGAGAGGTTTTAAGTTTGAGCAGCGAGAGCTTTGTGGTGGGCGACTGTTAAATACTTAACAGAAGTCAGCAAAGATAATTCTGGCATATCTGTGGTGTCATGTGTCTCATGGCTTGTTGTTCAACGGGTCGTAACAGAAGTCAGCACCACAAGTGGATGTTCATGCAGTTTTCTGAGACCGGAATGGTGACGGCTCTAGCACATGGTCCCAACGTTTCAAGATGGGGGGCCAAAATTGTCAAGTTAAAGTCCTCAAGAGCCACAAATATGTTATTTGTTCCCCAATTTAAACATGAAAATTCTACATGGATTTGTTTCCCCCCATGTGAACTCCTCAAAACAAGTTCAAAGTTAGACATAATAGTAAAAATATGAGCATCAAAAATATTTACATCAACATCCTGCTGGAGAGACAGATTTCTACCATTTAAGAAATACAATCAAGGTCACACCGAATCACTCCGAGGGCTCTAAATGGCCCCTGGGCTGCACTTCAGGCATGCCTGCTCTCAGAATGCTGTCATAAAAATCTCCTGCAGCTCAGCGTCGTGTTTCTTTCAGCACCTAGCTCAAAATCTATCTAGTTTTGTAACTTAATGCTGATTTGCACATGTTTATGGTGAAATCGGGGGCAGCAGTAGCTCAGGTGGTAGAGCGGGTTGCCTCATGATCGGAGGGTCATGGGTCCGATTCCAGCTCCCGCCAGGGGTATCCTGCTGTTGTGTCCTTGGGCAAGACACTTCACCCAACTTGCCTGTGTTAGTGGTGGTCAGAGGGGCCAAATGGCAGCCTCGCCTCTGTCAGACCTCCCCAGGGCAGCTGTGGCTACAAGTAGCTTACCATCACTAGCAGTGTGTGAATGTGAGAGTGTGTGAAAGCGTCTTTGGGTGTCTTGAAAAGTGCTATATAAGTTCAATGCATTATTATTATTATTATTATTATTAATAAATCAGACAACATCACTTATAGATAAAACTCACAGAATGTTCTGAAAATAAACTATTAGTTGGATAAGCTTAGATTAGCATGTCAAATACCCAGCTGTGTAAGCTGGATATTGTGTTTAATGTGTGTTTTTTACAAGTTTACTGACCTCATGTATCTTTCAAATCCTTATTCTTACAAGGATGATGTGAAAACAGTGTTAAAGATGAACATAATTCAACAGTTCTTTATTAGCTTTTAGCTAATTCAGTCTCCAGTCTGTTTTTGTACGATTTCTAAAAATTGCAAACTTTCATAAAGTCCCGAGATTTTTAAAATATTTGCAAATTGAATAAAATCGGCATTTTTCTGATTGCATGAAGAGTTCTGAACATTTCTAAGGAGTAAAAAGCCAAGTTTGTTAATGCATTTTGCTTTCTTTTCCTTTCTCTTACTTAGACTCATCATCTGAGTTTTTCCCATGTCCTCACTGCACTGTCTCCTTTACTAACACGGACTACTTGGAGAAACACGTGAAGTGGGTCCATCAGAAAGAGTATCTCGATAACCTGACAAAAAGCCTCCCAAACCACACACTAAACTTCAACCACAAACACGTCTGCTCCATCTGCGGCAGCACCTTCAAGTGCAAAGCTCACCTTGGCATCCACATGCGTGAAATCCACCCCTCTGCCCCACCTCGCAGGCTCCACCCGTGCCCTACATGCGCACGTAGCTTCCAGTATCTGAAAAATTTGAAGAACCATTGCCAGCGCTGGCACAACATGTCTGTGAATACTAAAGGAGGGCATCTCAGTTGTGCGGACTGTGGGAAGAGTTTCAAAGCCACCTGGGGTCAGGGTCGTCATCTGTGTCACGAACCAGACAACACCGAACCTGAGGATAGGCCGATCTGCTTGGACACGGGTGTGCAGTGCTCGGAGTGCGGCAAGAAGCTCCGCACACCTCAAAGCCTGGAGGATCACATGCGCACCCACACAGGCGACCGGCCGTTTCTCTGTAAGGATTGTGGCAGGAGGTTTGGGGAGCGCAGCAGTTGGCGGCAGCACATGAAAATACACGTAGGAGAGAAACCGTTCAAATGCGAGGTGTGTGGCAAGGCCTTTATAAGGTCACACCACCTCAAGTCCCACTTAACTACGCACTCCGGTAAGAAGGAATACTCTTGTCCCGAATGCGGAAAGGAGTTTGGGTTCAAGTCAAGTCTGGATCTTCATATCCGGACTCATTCAAGCGAAAGGCCGTTCAATTGCAACGTGTGTGGGAAGAGCTTTAACACTCGGAGGAACCTGAGGGTTCACGCCAAACTTCACAACAACGAGAAAGCTCACAAGTGTGGGGAGTGTGGGCTGGAAATTAGAGATCTGGGTGCTTTGAAAGTCCACTTACGGACGCACACCGGAGAAAGGCCTTACCACTGCACCGTGTGCGGCAGCAGGTTCATTCGCCTCGCTCATCTGCGCAATCACCAACGCATCCACTCCGGCGAGAGACCGTACAAATGCACCGACTGCGATAAGAGCTTCACTCAGTCCGGAGATTTGGTCAAACACAAGAGGATCCACTCTGGGGAGAAGCCTTATGAATGTCCAGAGTGCCACCGCTGTTACACCTCCTCCGGCGATCTGGGCAAGCACAGGAGGAGTCACACTAACCTGCGGCCTTACACCTGCCCAGAATGTGGAAAATGCTTTCGCTTGTCTGGCCATCTGAAAACGCACATGCTGACCCACACGGGGGAAAAACCGTACTCTTGCCCCAACTGCCTCCGCAGGTTCGCGCGCTCTCACCATCTCTCTGGACACGTTGCTAAATGTCGCTGAGCTTATCTGTACATGAAATATGCATTATTTAAAGTATAAATTGTGTCAGCTGTACAGCCTGGCTAACAGACTAGTAAACTCGTCTTTTACTATTTATGAACACTTTGTAAAACACTAAAGATGACAGATTTAAATGAAATCTAGAAATGAAGTCGCTAACGATAAAATGCATGTAACAGTTTGCACAGCTGCGTGTTTTTATTCAGTATCGTTCTAAGCTGTCTCAGAAAACACTATTTTGATGAAGGCCTGGAGATAAGCTATGAAATCGAGGTCATTAAGGACGTACAAATGCAGTGTTTTACATAGCTGAGTTATCTGTAAAACAAATAAATTGTGTGATAAACGCATGGACTTTGTGTGATTGTGCTTTAGGCTCAGTCTGCTGAGAAGCCGGAATTGTTGGGGGCATCGGTGCATAAATCTACTGAAACTTGGACAGCTGCAGAACGTTCTCCTACATTTGAAGACCAAGTGGTCTCTAGTTTAAATTAAGGCTGTTGTTTGTGTGTGTGTGTGTGTGTGTGTGTGGGGGGGGGGGGGGGGTCCAGAAGTGAGCCAGAACAGAGGGAACAAAAGGCGGCAGAATTTGGAGTCTTTATTTCTTAGTGTTCTGACATCTCACATCTTATTGGCTAACAGAAACACGACTCTACCACTGACTTTGTTTACTTTGCAACGTTGATGTTTTATCTCCACAAATAACACAAGCCTGAAGGAGTTCTGCCACTTTGTGGAGGTGCTAATGCTAACAGTTAGCTTCTACTAGCTGAGACGCGCTCAGCTCTCTCCTGGATGCTAAACCAACAACAGCCTTCCTGTTGTGAGTCAAGATGGTCGAGTTCATGAATGCTTGTTTAGCAACGTGATGTACATTTGACAGGCTTTACTGACCCGAGTGTTTAACCGTCTGTTTTCTGTCAGTGGCTAGATCAGGAAATGGTAGTGTGTGTGTGTGCGTGCGTGACAGTGGCCCAGCTTGATGATTTAATGGGGGGGGGGGGGGGGTCAAACGAATGGTTCAGAGCTGGCTCTGCTGTTTGAAGCAGTGAGCAATGGCGCCCCCAAGGGGTGGCCATGGCCACACCTAGAAAGTTGCTGCCCCCCCAGCAAAAGCCAGTGTTAATAAATCATATTAATGTTCACTCAAACCATAAACTGACCTTATCTATTCAAGACACAGTTGTAAAACAAAATAAAATCAATACACTTAATGAATAAAGAAACAATCAGAAAATTAAAAAATACATATGTTTCTGCTGCTCACCATTTAAAAACATGTTTATCTCTAGTTTTTTGGTGAACACAGCAACAGGTGAACTAAACTAAAAAATATATATATATATTTTTAAATTGACATACCATTTTAAATAGCTGAAACTTATTTTTCTGAAATGTTTGTGTTTGTAAATTTTAAGTTAAATGTTTTGGATATGTACTGTGTTCTTAATGAAAACGACTAAAGGAGCAATGCAATACATCACCACAGGCTAAACTCTCCCAGAGTCACCACAAGAACCAATTTGGTGCGCACCCCAAAAATTTCTTTGTTCCCATCTGGCCACCCCTATCAACATTTTCTGGAGGTGCCCCTGGCAGTGAGCAATGAAACGCCACCTCTTCTCTCCACATGCACGAGCGTTTAGGTGCCGCTGACCCAGTGGGGCCACTGAATGCGTTTCCACAGCAACGTGGTAAGTAACCACAACCAAAATCTGTGCACAGATGCACCAAAATCAGCTTGAGATCGAAATCGGGACAATTTTGTTATGATCAGACGAAATCTTTTTTCTGTCTAGTATTTACCATTACACAAGGAGCAATTAAGGAAATTAGCCATTTTTCCCTGATATGTGCTAAGTTCTAATTCTAAATATGTTTTTTAAAGTGCAGTAATTGTCACTACTGATGGGTCAGTGTTGTACAAAAATAGGTTATCTGTTGGCCGCCAGAACCCAAATTTGGTGCATCTCCACTGTGTAATCTGTTTTTGCAGTTCTTGCATATTTAGGCTTTAAGAATGGCACAGAACCGTGTTTTTAGGTAGTGTTATTTTAAAAAGTAGCAAAAAGATGATACCTGTACACCAAGCTGTAGTTTTCTTCTTTTTAAACCTGCTTTTCACTTCAAAGAGTCACAAATAACTGAATAAGTTAATTGTGCACATGTGTATTTATAATACAAATAACGAAGGATTTTAATAACGTATAAACAAGCATTTTATTAAAACAAAGGAGTAAATATACAACACCAGTCACATTTGATACTTGCTCTTACTTTTATAGGGTACTTGCATACCCGTGGCATCACAGCCCATGTTTCTGCTCCTGAGGACCTGCTGACTGCTGCAACAACTTGTAAGGTAATATCTTCAAGCAGGAGCTCTGAAGAGTGTTTCGTTAATTAATTAATTTAGATGCAAACCACGTTGGCAGTGTAGGTGCAAAGGGTGCACGCACAATTTATAGTGCAAGCTTCTTTGCAGAGCAGCGAGTGACGGCGAAAAGGTGAAATCTTATATTTACTGTTGCGTTTTAAAAACTGAAAGTTTCCTGAGAAGGGGGAGACCGATATGTAAGCTGGACGATATTTACCGTTTTGTATACATCGGCCAATATTTGTCCTTAATAAAGCCGATTTAGAGTCAGGCGCAAACTAAGGCACCTCAGTGCTGTTGATTTAATTTGAATGTTTTTCTTATGTTTACTAATAACATCTGCATAATAAATACTCTAATTGAACTTTATTCAGGTGTTAACACTGAGCAGTGTACAAAGTTAAGATTTAACAGTTGGTTAAAGAGCAAGTCACCCCCAAATCAACTTTTTTTCCTGATGATAAACTATATAAATGCGTGTCTAATCGTGCTGCAGACACGTGTAGTCAATAGTTTTGCACTTTAGTGCATTTTAGTCAAAATTTTAATTTTCTGCCTAAAACTGTCAGTGTTGTGCCGTTGTCAGGTAAAAACTCTGCACTGCATTTGAATTTAAATCTGCCATCGCTATTGGCTAAGAGGTGCCCAAGAACGTTAGCTGGTACCATATGATGTCACAATGTCGTTGTGAGCCTGTGTGTGTGTATTTGTTAGAGGCTCCGCCCTCTCGATCTGCTTGGCAACAGCATTTGTTGCATATTTCAAATAGGACGTGGGAGTTGAGTAAGAATCTGGTAGGGGTGACTTGCTCTTTAAATTCAGAGTTCAAAACTGATTCAGCTTCAGAAATCTTTTGCATCAGCTGATTAGTTTGTTTTTATGTTATTAGTGACATTTTAGAGTGAAGATAAGGTGGAAAACGTTTAGACATTGGCCTTTTAAACTGGCCAATAAAAATCGGCAGTATATATCGGCCATCGGCTGACCGCGTCAGCATCGGTACCGGCAATAGAAAAAAACCAATATCGGTCGACCTCTACTTCTGAGGCACAGCTTCTTTAGAAAAGAGGCTAATTTCTGTCTCTTATTAGCAGCAGATTGTTTAAAAGTTTTCGTGGCAAATTCTTTTCTGCCTAAGATGAAAATTTTATATGAATTCTAATAATATTTTGACTAAATAAATAAAGGACAAACGTGCATTTTAATTATCCAGCAGAAGATAATTATCATTGAGTTTTTTTCTGAATACAGAGTTTTATTATTTTTTTGCATTATTTTTAAACATTGTCAAACAACTGACTATAACTGTGTGTGTGTGTGTGTGTGTGTGTGTGTGTGTGTGTGTTTGTTATAAAACATTAATTTGGTACAAATATCTGAAACTCAATAACTTGTTTTGACCGCCACTGATTTTCTTTTAATAGTTTTCTAAAAACTGAAAATATTTTAAAACAAATACATTTTGCACACGCTTTGTCTGCAAAAATATAATAAAAATATCAGGAATGGCTGTTTAAAAGCCACTTTTCATGCACAAACAGAAATTAAATAACAATAAAAAAATGTTTTTTCCAAATAAATAAATAAACTGAGGCAAATGCAATATTCCACAAAACACTTTCCAATTCTCCTGTATGAAAACAGCCTGAAAGTGAGTCGGTTGGGGTATAGAATGGATGAATGAGTGAGATGACAAATTGCTTTTGCTGTTTAATAATTTAAAATGTTGTTTTTTTTTTGTTTGTTTGTTTGTATTTTTCTTTTTTTTTTCCATCGAGTGTAAACTTTGTTTTCTTTTGAATTCTTTCCTTCAGTGGGGCAGTCATGAGAGGAAAATCCTGCTAACATTTACACACACACACACACACACACACACACACACACACACACACACACACACACACACACACACACACACACACACACACACACACACACGCCATATGCATCACTTAGACAAGGCCCACAACCAAACCGGTCTCGGTCAATTCAGTGGGAATTGGTCTATTATTTTTATGTCCGCAATTACAGGGACAGAGCAGTAACTACGACTCCTGCACAGATAACAAAGATGTATTTAGGAGTAAATAAAATTGACTGTACCTTTGTTTAAAGCTGGAATCAATACTTCTTAAAGTGTGTCCATTTTTCATTTAGCCGCGTCATGTCTGTGTGGAGGAGGGGCAGAGAGATGAATGGCTGGATTCTCTAATTCCCCCTGTTGCAGTCATCATAATTGTTGAACAACCATGGTTTTTAAAGATCGGGCTTGGGGAGAGGCAGGCCACACAAAGAAAGTTAATAGATTTGGAAAATTGAGATAGATTGCACAAGAAGCCATTTTTGGAGCGTTCCGGAGGCCTGGCAGGCAGAGGGACAAACATGATGGAGAGATGAGGAGGTGGGGAAAGTGCGGCTGCACGCGGACTCGAAGGGTGGCTGAGAATGCATCCTGACGAATAAAGCTTTATCTTTTCTGTGCGGGTCTCTTGTCTCGTAACCGGATGCGTCACAGTTTTAGGCCTGCGTCGGCTCTAAAGTCGTCTGATTCCTGATCGGAGCAGTAGTTCCTCTCTTGAGGCACCAGGGGGAAATGGATAGCTGTGGACGGATGCTTCGGGGAATAGTCTAACTCGGAAGTTGGAGCTGTGGTACAGAACGAGTCTCGTCTCACTGGAAGTTGAAAATACTTTTGGGGAGCCAGCATTATACCTCCACCCTCATGAACAGTGCTGTTCCAGCTAACAGTGCTTCCAGTCCACGACCTCTGACCCTCTCATTCTTCAGCTTTTAGGATGTTTTGCAGCAGTTATTTATCCACACGGGGCCTGCATTTGTTTCCATCCGTTTTGATATCGGTCATTGCTTCCACATTTGATGCATTCAGGCTCCTCAGAAATCTTCCCCATATCCAATTTTCACCTATCCCGTGTCCAATTTTCCCTAATAATCAGATGATTACGGTGCGATGCT